TGTGCGCGTATAGCATGGAGTCACTTTAGCCTATTCAAGTCTTACAGTCCCCACCCTGGCTGAGACCGGATTTAAGTGAGGAAAATCTGCCTACGTTTCTTACTCAGCTGAGGCCCCAGATGAAGCAACGGCCACCCACAGACAGGAAGATTATGAAGAAGCACAGTCTGGCCGATTAGCATGGAGTCACTTTAGCCTATTCAAGTCTTACAGTCCCCACCCTGGCTGAGACCGGATTTAAGTGAGGAAAATCTGCCTACGTTTCTTACTCAGCTGAGGCCCCAGATGAAGCAACGGCCACCCACAAGGACAGGAAGACAGTGCCACAGTGGCAGAGTCACTTGTAGTCAGCACCGGCCAGTGGCCTCCTTGCGGCTCTGGCCCAAGGGCGGCCCTGGACCTTCTGCCCAGGCCTCAGTTCCCCACACCACTGTACAGTGCAGGCCACAGGCTGCTCAGCCTGGAGGGGTTGCCTGGCCGGGCCTCAGCTGAATGCTGGTTTCCTTCCTCCGCTGAGGGGTGGGAAAGCTCTGTCATCCTCAAAGGCCAAGCTCGCTCTGGGTGCAGCCCCACCCTCCTCCCTGACCCTAACTGAGCTTCATCTCAGGGGGAGTGGGAAAGCTCAGATTTAGGAACAGACCTGGACCACCTGACTGCACTACAGCAGGGACAGCCAACCGCGGGGCTTTGAGTTAGAGTGGGCTCTTGACTTACAAACTCAATCCATTCCTGAGGGCTGGTTGGGACTCAAGATGGCCTGTGAAGGCTCAGGCTCCGCTCCACAGCCTTCGAAATCTCTCTCCTGCACACAGGCTGATCTCAGTCATTGTCCTTACAGGAGAGGATGTGTAATGATCCTCCAGAACTCTCTAAGGGTTAAATCTGTATCTGAGAACATCTGGAAGCACAAGCTGCTGGCATTCGGGTTGTAACTCAAGACTTTGTTCTTAAGTCAAAACTAAAATAGTAGTAATATCCTGAGTTACATATGAACTTATGTCAAGCCGGTCATAACTCGAGGGTCCATTGGACCAGCTCTGGGCCAATCTGCAGGCATCATGTATGGGTCCCACGGCCTCAAAGAGGGGCTACCTCAGACACTGTCACCCAAGGACAGCAGAGGGAGCCAGACACTAAGCAAACCCCAGGATCCTCCAGGGGGAACCAGCAGGACAAGTGCCAGGTAGGACAGCATTGCTATGAGCTAAAATATCTCCCCCCCCCTCTCTTTTGTATTTAGAATCTAACCTAGGGTTTTTGTACAGAGCTACAACCCATCCTTTTAAAATGTTTATTTTGACACAGAGTCTTGCTAAGTCATTAACTTGCCCAAGTTGGGCTCCAGCTTGCAATCTTCCTGCCTCAGCCTCCCAGATTGCTAGGACTACAGGCACACACCACCACCACATCTGGCAAGAAGCAAATTCTTCAACAGCACTATGTTAATTATGGTCCCTTTATGCTTGCTCGATGTTTGATTCCTCTTCAATTATTCCTCTTAATTCTGTAAAATTAAGGATTGTTTCAACTTTAAATATTCTTTCAAATTTTGAGTAAATACTAAAAAGCCTACATACAGATATGTGATATCATCTGATGGCTCATTTCATCTTTGGAAAGGTGTCCTTATTCTTTTTTTTTTTTTTTTTTTTTTTTTGAAAGGGGTTCTCTTTTGTTTTTTTTTTTTTTTTTTTTTTTTTTTTTTTTTGAGACAGGGTCTCACTATGTAATTTAGGCTGGCTTTGAACTCACAGGGATCCTCCTGTCTCAGCCTCCCAAGTGCTGCCATGACAGGTGTATCCCACCATGCCTCGCTTTTTGTTTGAACCTTTGGAAAGATGTTGTTTCCTGGTATCTAACCTTGGGGCGGGGCAGGATAGGAGTCCTATACTGCTGGCCTACGTACTGTTGTGTCTGTCTGCACAACACAGCAAGGGTTCCAGTAACCTCGATCCACAGCCCGGGCTGGCAGTGGGAGGAGGGTCTGGCAAAGGGCAACCGAGGGCTGGGGCTGGGGTGGGGAGTATGCGCTGACCTGTGGGGACCAGGACAATGACCCAGATGGAGAGGTAAGTGACTCCCTTCCAGCCACGTGTATGTGTGTGGACCCAAAGGAAGGACAGGTTCTTTCCGTGACCACATGCAGCTCCCCAGAGCTGGAGCCAGGGGTGAGTGCTAGGGGTACAGAGGGTGGGGTCACAGCATTTGGGGCCCTCTGGCTGTTCTTAGAACTCACTTCTTGTCTCCATGGTGCTGAGTCACAGAGAGGAGTGGCACTGTGTCCCTAATCAGCTCCTCTTGTCCCCCTGGAAACAGACCCCCAACTCGCATGGAGTGACAACTGCTGCATTGGCAGGAACACTGGTGCCCGGCTCCCTTGCAGCTAGGAGGACTGTTGGGGTTTCTGGGGGATGCCTCATCCAGGGGTATGTGGACAGCACCCAAATGCACTCTACTTCCTTGATGCTGGACATGGTCCAGCCCCCAAGGACAGGGGCCAGCATCCACAAGAGGGAGGCCTAATATGCTGGTAGTGAGTGGCAGCCCAGGGCCCTGGGAGTGTTGTGGGGACCTTTCAAGCCCTGCCCCAGCTTTCCGCCAATTTGAAAGACAATGACCAGGGTCTTGCCAACCTCCCACACTGTGGCAGCACTCCTCTTTGTACCTTCCACACCATTAACTCAATGAATCTTTTGTTCCTTGGTTCAATTTATACCTATGTATTTTACATGTATTTATTTACTGCTGCTCTAAGTGGAATTATTTCCTTAATTTCTTTTTCAGATTATTATTCATACATAGAAATGCAGGTGTTTTCTTTCTTTCTTTAAGGCAGGGTTTTGCCATGTAGTCCAGGCTGGCCTCGAACTCACTATGTAGCCCAGGCTAGTGTAAGACTTGAATAGGCTAAAGTGACTCCATGCTAATAGGCCAGACTGTGCTTCTTCATATGCTAATTGCTACCTTGGTTAACAGCCCACCCAGGGGCAAATGGTTTGACAAAAGGTGACCCTAGAACATTTCCTGCATAAGATAAGCAATGTGTTTGCAGTCTTGTTCTGTGAATTCCCTGACTCTTTGTTTAGAAAAACCTTATAAAGAGTACCTCAGCCCCTGAGCAGTTGCCTCTCTGAGCCACCTGGCTCCGGGAGTGCCGTCTGGCCAGACTAATAAAGGTCTCTTTACCATCTAGCCTGGTGTGTTCCTTCCTGGGTTTCTCGTTTCTCCATCGAGCTCCCGGAGCCTCGCTGGGTGTTAGGGCCCAGCATCGTGGAGGCCTTTTTGGCTGTTCACGCTCCATGGAGTGGAAGTGAGACTTTAGGTCTTACACTAGCCTTGAATTTGTAGCAATCCCTCTGCCTCAGCCTCAGGAGGGCTGGGATAACAGGCTTGCACCACCACCTCCAGCTATTTCTTAAATACTGATTTTTGCAATACACAACGATCACATCTCTCGTGGGGAGCTGGTACATGAACACAGCACATCCTAATTCCTTTCTCTTTTCCTTCCCTTCCTTCTCCCTTCCATCTCCTGGGACCCTTCTCATCTGCAAAGGATCTATTACTCCACCTATTTTCTGACTTCCAGTGACAACTCTGGGATATTGTGACGCAATAGGGGAGCCTTTTAACTCAATCATTTTCTATAAAGACCGTGGCTTCAGAATGAAAGTAAAGGGGTTGGGGATTTAGCTCAGTGGCGCGCGCGCGCGCGCGCACACACACACACACACACACACACACACACACACACGGGCGGGGGTG